TGTATGCTGGGACGCTACAGTATGTGCAATTATTTATATAGGCTTTTAGGTAGCTGCAGCTGGCCAGCCGAGCGCCAACAAATTGTGAGTAATTTTATATTATTGTTTTTATTTATTTATTAATTATTCTACTGAGCCAAAGGAGCTATAATATTTCATTTATATCATTAATAATGATTCATTATTATATTATATCCGTAGTGCCAGAAGGGCCGTAGATTTTGTATATTATTCTGTTGGGTCAGAAGGGCCATATGTTATTATATCTTTTTATACCTTTTCTGTTGCTGTGATTTTTATATTATATTGTGGATTTTAAATTATTTGTATATTACAGCAACTTAGTTACCAAAACCTGTGTTACCCTTTATTTTAGTTTTAAGTCTACWCACCACACATACGTACACACCTACACACACCACCACACACTAGCACTCTTTAGTTTTGATCGGCGATCCCGTCCACTTCTATTGAGTCGCTATACAGACATATACAMACATACACAGGTCGGYCGGTGTGTGAGAGTAGCGCGCGAAGTAGTCCGGGCGCACGGCTTATTATTGTTCGTTCCCGGCCCGTACAAATGCGAAACCTAAAACTCAAAACTCTTTAAAAACGTTGATCAAGGTTGAAAAGTGGATCCGTTGGGTGACAAAGTAAAAAATGTAGATTCACTATTGTCCAGTTATGTAGCAGCTTACGATATGCCTTGTGCCGGTATGGATCATTTAACTCCAGTTTTGACCCGTTGCTTCCCGGATTCTAAAATAACGCAAACACTTTCGTTAAAGCGTACTAAAACAAAGTGTATCGTCAAGAATGTTATTGCTGTCCACAAAAAATAAAATCTTACTAAAAAACTTCAATGTACTACATTTTCTATTCTAATGGATGAATCAACAGACATTTCTAGTGTAAAAACCACTTGTATAATGGTTCGGTTTTATGACGTAAAAGCTCTGGCATTGTTAGTAATTTCTGGGAACTTTGCCAAATTTTTAGTCAACATGATGTTCAAGGAGCCGAAGCAGGAGTTATTGATGAACAATTATTTAATGTGGTAATTCGAAAATTCCAGAAAAGAAATATAAATATAGAAAATATTGTTGGTTTTGGATCTGATGGTTGCAGTACCATGATGGGTAAACATAACTCTGTAGCCTCACGATTTTTAGTTTTATGTCCAAATATTTTCATAATGAAATGTTTTTGCCACTCCTTGCTCTAATCTAACGTTATCGGAAATTCRGCATTGTTTATTCTACTGAAGAGTGAATTTGATTTTTCATTGTTAGMAATTGATTGTAAACTTTCTCTGATGCGATTTGCTAGTGTTGAAGATATATGTTGTGCACTAGCTTTAACATTTAACCTATGTGTTAGTTTTTTACTTCTTCGTCGTTGTTATATCTAAATCTACATTTTAATGCCGTATGTTTAGTTTTTTTGCAAATTTGACAAGCGCCCCTCTGAAAGCATTTATCAGCCGTGTGAAATGGTTTTTCGCATATTTGACATACTATATTCTCCCTTATGTTGATATTTTTTTCTATGTTAGTATTATCTACGGTTTACATTTTACGATAGTATATATGCAACAGCGAAAGCTACTATTACCTAATCAAATAGATATATTGTATTACTAACAACATATGTCTTTTTGTTGTATTTACACAATGGTGCTATATTCCCATTTAAAATGACCGTTGTTAAATGAGATCGCATTCGGGATCTATTTAGTATACGATAAATTTCAGGACATGTATCTGTAAATTTTGTTTGCCCTTTTTATATTTTTTTCCATATTGATCGCATTACTATCAAAGTGCATTGCTCATGTAGCCATCCTTTACTTCATTATTATTATTATTAGTATTATATTCTTCGAGTTGACAACTACGCGCAATTTTCATCGAACCGTCAATACTCATAAGATGAGTGRTTTTGAAACGATCAACTGCCATTGACAAACGGAATTTGTGTTAAACAAAAACCACCTAGCGTGCCCCGTAAATACCGGCGTATCCGAATCGGAATTGGTATAGGTATTATCGCCGGACTAACGCGCGACACGTTCCGTACGCACATTCGTTTATATCGGCCACTAACGTTCAGTGAGCTTCGACGCATCGCAGGTGTTTTATACCCAATAATGGATGACAACAAACCCCAAACAAAACAGTGGACCCCGAATCCCGATTGAAAAGGCACTGACACCCCACGTACAGCCAGGTCGTCAAAAGACCAACCGCCAGGGCCATGCAAATATTGTGGGGAACATCATTGGCACAGCGAGTGCCCACACAAGCCGTCCACATCGGAWAACGGCCGGTTAGTCGACGAGGACTAGTCCCCCCACATCAACTCAGCACCAACTCCCCACTCAACATTACCTACTATCGGTAGTACATACGGGAAAAATAGACGTAATCGAAAAGTGCCAATTTTTTCCATCACCTCACCTAGCAACACCCGTTCACAGTCCTTGTAGGACACGACTTTCTTGTCGACAATGAAGTTTCTTAGGATTACGCCGCATGCACAATTCGCATGAATAGGCAAATTCGTATGTCAACATGCTGGGAAGGGAAATCACAACCAACCGCCACTAGTCTCGACTTATCACAATTAGAATTTGGTAACGACACCAAAATGCGCGCGAAACTAACTGAGATATTGAATAAATACGCGGTAGTGTTCAGTGACAAAGTAGGTCCTAGAAAATTAATTGAACACGAAATTTTGCTTAAAGACCCGACTCTAATGGCACTCAAACCATACCCGTACCCACAACAAAAGCAAACCGCTATCCACGACATGGTGCGCGACATGGAATCTCAGGGCTTCATAAAACCAAGCACCTCACCGTGGGCCGCACCAGTAGTATTGGCAAAGTAAAAAGACGGAAAATTTCGTCTCTGTGTCGACTACAGGTGGCTAAACGACGTAACGGAATCCGACGCGTACCCTATTCCAGATTTCAACAAAATGATTAGGCAAATGCAGGGCGAGAACATTTTCAGCATTTTCAACCTTAGGTCAGGGTATTGGTAAGTGGCATTACACGAAAATGCGCGAAAATACACGGCTTTCCGAACACGTAGATGTCTATTTCAGTTTAGATTCCTTGATCCAAAAAAGGTTAGGGACGTACGTACATTTTTGGGCGTGTGATACTGGTACACAGAGCCGGTTGCCCGGGGCGTTACTTTTTTAGGGGTGCTTTTAATATATGAATATTTTATAAATTTTAGCGTAATATTTATTCAAATTGACAATAATATAGCTAAATGACTAAATTATCTATGACGGAATATTCTGTTATGTATTTTTTTTTTATAGATTTGACTCCACTTTCCAGTTTTTATTATAATTTTACAAATAATTAAAATATAATATACAATGATATATGTATAATCATTAACTCGGGAAAACCAAAAAAGTATGTGTTACAGCCGATACGTCTATAAATTGTATCCAGGCATATAAGTTTTGCAATCCTTTATCTATCCATAAATATAAGAATTTTAAACAAAATATGTAGGTAAGTATAAAAAGTATTAAATGTATTATGGAGAATTTGATTAAGGGTTTMTTTCAAAAAATTGACCGGAGCGTCAAAATACATTGGACCAGCCCTGCTGGCACAACCAGTTCGTAGACAATTACGTGGATACCATAGCACCTCTCACTAATTTATTAAAACATGGGGTACGTTGGAAATGGACAGATGTAGAACAACGCGCGTTCAAATCAATAAAAAAACGCGATAGTCACATCATCAAAATTGTCACCACCCGATTAAAGCAAACCGTTTTGTCTAAACCGATACAAGCGAAATAGAAGCCGGTGCGGTACTTTTCCAACGGGGTGACAGACCGGAGAAAAGACGCATAGTGTCCTACGCAAGCAAAAAGTTTAGAGAAACGTAAACAAGGTACGCCACGGTTAAAAGCGAATACCTAGCAAGGGCGTATTTGAGTTGAGACCATGGGGGGGCGAAACTAATTTTTCTTCTATGCAAACTAAAAATTAATTTACAGTCGATTACCTATAGCTTTGTAATTTGTTCCTGTTAATCATTCGCGTTTCGCKTAAATAAATAAAAATAAAAGTAATAAAGTATCAAATTGAATTGAATTAAATATTTATTTAACATTATATATATAAATACAAAATATATACCAACATAAGGTTGATAGTCAAATACTTAAATAACAAAATCTRTATTTCTCTTTTTCATTTTAGAAAATTTKTCGATTATATCATCAATGGATATGATAATATGCCTGTGAACATGCAGCAAAGCCAAACCCGTTAATCGATTTTGGCCTATTCTCGATCTTAACCAAGTTTTCAATCTACAAAAATATGTTTTAGGCCAATATTAGCAAGTAATAGAAAAATGGAAACAAATATGCATGCATTTATTGCATTAGTGCACAAAATAGTAAAACAATTAAAGAACTCTAATAAATACTCAAATAAGCAAAAAAAAAAAAAAATAATAAGCAATAATGCATACATGCATACATGCATACATGCAAAATTAATTTAAAAAAATTAATTAATTAATTAAATTAAATAGGTGGTAAAAATGAAAAAATGTCCCTTTCTGCTTTATTAATTGATTCTATATCCAAAATTTGTTTCCCTTGAAAAGTTKAAACATAAGTCTGCGGATGTCTATAAAGTGTAAAATGTTAAGCATTTTCTTAAATTACCTTCGTAAAGTGGAAAACGACCTTTCAGCAGAAGCAACACTAACAGGCAAGCAAGAAATAATGAAAAGCAATTCTCTAATAGTAGGATATACAACTTCACTACACGCCTAAGCACTAGTGATAACATCAGTATGAATTTCACCACCTTAAACAAAAATAAATTYAATAAATATTATTTATAAAATTAAAAGCCAACTTGTACATTTTACCTTCATTTTGGATTCTTGTCCATTTTAATTTCCACAAATCAATTTCAGTTTTTAACTCTATCTCTTCTATATTCATCCATTTTGCATCATCAAATTTAAAATGGTTTATGATATTTTGTACAATTTTTGTAATTTCTTCATTAGTTGTGTTGACTATGTTTTTTGGAATAAGTTTAGATAAAAATATAAATGCTTGATTTTTTGCACAGYAGAAACGTGCCTTCATATCACTTAATATATTTTCAACTAGTGGTATATACACAGATACTCTATAGTAATCTTCTMTTGAATCAACAGCGTGATTAGCTCTTTTAGTCTGATGGCTTGTTAATCGTGGCAACTTTTCTTCAATGTCCAGGTCTAACATCATTTTTTTTATTTCAATATATAGTTCATGGAAGCCAGTCGTAGCATTTTTTCTCTTCTTTTCAAGACTTAAAATTACATTTGAGATAATTTCATTTGCTTTACAAATATCTTGCCACTTACTCTGAAGTAGCTTACTCACCATTGTTGTCACACATAGAAAACTTGATAAAGAAAATATTCCAACAACAAATTCACATTTACATAGTGATGTCAATAACATTTTTGCCTTTGAGGATGAGTTGTGTTCTTGCCAATTGGAAATTAATGTTAGAGCTTTTATAATATAGGGAAARATGACTTAAACAGCATAACACTATCGTGACGTTCAACCCATCTTGTTTCGCACAAGCTTATTAAACGTGGATTTCCMTTTAAAATTTTCTTCAAAACAAAATTTCGTTTAGATGACATATTAAAAAATAATATAACTTCCATCATTACTCCAACACAGTTTCTTATTGTTTGTATAGATGATGACTTTGATATTGCAAAATTCAATGCGTGGTTAGAACACGGACAATGAATGGCATTTGGAGCATGTGATTGTATTTTTGTGACAGCTCCTCGTACTGTAGAAACCATGACACTACATCCGTCAGTGCCTATGCCAACACAGTTAGTAAGATTAAGTGAAAAACTTTTTAACATATTAAGTACAATTTCACCTAATATATCACCAGTTAATTTAGGTTCAAATGTAATAGGGTCTTTTTCCATTAAATCCTCGTCTTCAATTTCTGTTTCATTATAAATATTATGACAATTAATGAAACAAATAAAATTTTCTTTTATCATACCGTTGTAAGTATATCTTAATACTAAACTCATTTGTGAAACATGAACTATGTCAGTTGTTTCATCGAAAATTATACTATAATATTTACTCTCTTGAACTTCTTTGAGAATTTGTTCAGTTATATAAGCTTTACAGCATTCGATAATATCATTTTGTATTATAGGGCTTATATAAGTAGCTTTGGAATGAGTCGACATTAAATGATTTTCTAGATTGGAATCCCCACATAAAATTCTAAATTTTAAAGTCTCTCGAAAATTACCTTTATTAACAGTAGATTCTGTTGTCGATACTGAATCATTTACTTTTTGAAAAAAATCACCAGAATCATGGTGACCTCTTAGTGGTATATTTTGTCTCCCAAGAAAAATTATAGTTTCAATAATCGGTTTCAATCTATTACGGTTTTCATTAATTTGGTTTATTCTTTCTGTATTCATAATATTTATTATATCTTTATCTGGATTTTGATATCTATGTTTAAAGTCTTCTGCAATTAATAGACATTCAATATGATATTGCAATTTGCAATGTACTTCTAAATCACCATCTTTCCCCCACAACTTTGCATACTTTTTTAAAGGTTCATTGACAAATTTTTTTAACGGTGTAGCCCTATCTTTTCCACCTTTATCAGAAAATAACACGCAATATTTACAAAACAATTCGTTCTTATTTTCAGAATAAGTAAGCCACTTATGTTTTTCAAAATGCAATCGTTTTAGGAATCTCTTTTCTTCTTTATTTTTTTTTTATGTGTACCGAAAGTGGGTAGACAAAATGATCACTAGGAATATAACTCTAACAATTTATATTTCATAATATCAGTAATTTTATTTGAATTTTTTGGTACAAAGTAACCAATGTCGGTAGTAAATTCATTACACACATTCATTGATGTACTTACAATAGGTGGTTGACTATTCTGATCTTTAATTGCTTGCAGACACTGAGGTAGAACTGGAGAATTTGATAATTTTTCGATATCGACATTTGATTTACTCGTATTCGGAGAAATATCATTAGTAATTTCATTTTTCGGGCGTTTGTCCAGCCATTTTGATAATAAACTTTGTGTAGCATTGCGTTTACTCATATTAACATTAATAGTTAAGTTTTTATTAAAATGAAATACAATATATAAATTCAAAACAAAATGCAAAATACAATAAAGTTTTGTAATAAATAATAATACAATTTACATTAGTACATTAGTCATTAATCATTATCAATAACTACTATATCACGGTAATACCACAGAATAATTTCTGTGGTAATACGGTTCTGTAGCACGATTAAAGATAGTACTATCTTTAATCGTGTGGCGTTAGAGGAGGTATACCGTCTCAACTCTAACGACCAACGTGTCTGACAAAATCAGTAGGTTAAAGAAATCAACAGGACAAGTTTAAATAATTAAATTTTATTGCACGGCAAAAAAAAAAGTACTACATAGAAAAATGATTATCCACGTGAGTCGTAACGATAGCCGCGGGTCGGTGAGAGCACGGATTTGAGGGAACGACGGTTACGAAAAGAGTAACTCGACACGGCGAGCGATGATGGCTTCGAGCCCGTAACGGCGAAAAAGCTATCGCGCGCGGCGGGAGAAAAAGTGTACGAAAAGTCGTCGCGGGCGACGTAACAAAGAGAATAAATATACAAATACAATAAGTTAAAATAATTCACACAGTGAATAATACAAGGAACATAGCAAAAAATACAATAATAAAAACGTTTACAATGTGATACATAAATACAAAGTT